ATCGTCAAATGTCCTTGCACGTCTTCTTTCCGTTATCGATACTTGCCAGCAGCAGATGCTCTGTATAATCAGAAATGTAGTGTGAATTTTGGAAAAGGCGACTCTATTCATGATATTCCCAATGAACAGACAGAGTTAGCAGGACGTCCTTCTGATAAAAAAAAGATGCCTTTTTAGAAACATGCAGGTGGTTCAAGAAAAATGATGAACCAATTTCAGTTCAGGAGTTGCTGGACAAAATGGCAGAGCTGCTGCTAGGAAATATCGAACCTTACACTGTTCGTCGTATGCATAAAAAATCAGAAGAATATTTCTCGAATGACATTATGATATTGAGACAAAAAGGTAGAGCTAATATGATCGTAACAGGGAAAACAGTTGCCAATATAATTTGTGATTATCAGCGACAAAAGTGTTCAGAAGATCCAGATGCTAAAAAATTTCGGATAGTTGAAGCAACAGCTAAACTGATTAAGAATTTAATCAAGTTGATGAGAACATCTGTAGAGTTTCATCCTCCACCAGAAGAAATAAGTTCCGAGCAGGAAAATAATAAGCTTTTACCCGACATTTTGAGAACATTCTTGGATATAATAATCAACAAACTATCCTCAAGTTTGAAGAAAAATTCAATTGAACAAGCACTAATGCAAACTGCAAGGCCATGATCTATCATAAGTTCAATTCGTCTAGGTGTTGGTGAGCAGTATCATCGAGATTTTCGATCTCGGTTACTTGTCGATGATTTCTAATGAGAAAAACCATTTATTTCTAATCCAATGTATAGCATGCCACTCATACCTAGACAGGAACTGGAGTTTCCTATTACAACTAATATCTCCATAACCTGTATGAACTCAGATTGGAACGAGAATATATTGATTCTAAAACTGCTAGAAGAAGGTTTCCTGTGCCCATTGAAGATGGATCCTCTGATATCAAAATTGTAAGTACCAATATAATCATTCCATTTTACAATATATTTGTAGTGGGACGAAACCCTATAATTATAATTTTTAACTAATCAGAACTGGAGTTCACAAAAATTATTCTTTCTACTGAATAACTCTCATTAGTGAGCTGAGTAGACTCCTGAATTCATCAAAATAAAGCCATTTGAGTAATGACTGACTTCCATAATGTTGCTTCCACATTGGTAAAGGTTTTTAGGTTTGCATTTGAAATAAAGCAGTGTTATAGGACTGCTGAGTCAAATGTGATTTCATCTATGCAATTTTTGGAATATTTCTGTAGTTAAACATGGAACTTTCCTAATGCATAACTGATAAGACTGCTGAATCAAATGTGATGAAACTTATGGTGATTTTCAAGTGGGTATGTGATTTATTTCATGCTATACCTATCTCTGACAGGACCATTTCTGCGATATGACATGGAACATTTGAAATGCAGCAGTAATTGGACTGCCGAATCGAGTCTGTGATTTCATTCATGCTGTATTCCTCAAATATTTTCGTGATGAAACATGTATAATTCGTGATATAGCAGTGATTAGACCACTGAATCAGATGTGATGAAACATATAATTTATTCCTGGGATGAGACATTGAATATTTTATATGCAACAGTAATAGGACTGTTGAATCGAATGTGTTGAAACATGTGTATAGTAAGTCTGTGATTCCATCTAAACTGGTGAACATTGACAACGTCGTGCTCCAAAATATAGCCTGAATTCAAAGTAGAATGACTCACTATATTTCATTTTTGAAACAAAGCGATTTTCATCACGTTTAAACATATTATCCTTCTTCATCCCGAACAATCTGGACATATTTTTCATCGCACCTTGTATATCCACCGTCAAGAATAAATATGAATTTCATACTCCTGAAACTACAATCGTAATTTCTTGAATTTTATAATTTATCTTAACAAAAATGCATCATTTTGATTAAAAATGCGTACTTTCATTATATGACCTTCGATCCAAGAAATAACAAAACCATTTCGAGGTCAGACACCATACATCCCCATGACGAAGTAACACCCCATTATTCCACTAGTAACACAGAGAAAATTATGTTTCATCTACTGAAGATTACGTTATTCTCCATTCCATCATTCAGTATTTCTTGTATCACTTCGTATAGACTTTTACAGAATTTTCTGTGTTCGAACTCAAGCACATATCCGACGACTATACATACAACGTTGAATCTTCGGAGAAGAATTCCAACTTTCAATTTCATTTAATTAATCGTCGAAAAAATGCATCATTCTGAATGAATATTCATAACACAATTATCAAAGTTCTGAATTTGAAAATTCCGAAAACTTTTCGAGAGAAAGCATAAATTAAGAGGATACAGGTGAGAAAAAAAATAAAAAAAATTATCTGTTCAAACGATAAGGTGACGACCACGATGCAGTTTTACACCCATTCAATTATCACCCTGTAGTAATGCTATCTGGAATTACAGTAGTCTCATATTGCCACAACAAACTGTCAAGAGATTAGGCTAATCATTGGTGAAAACCGATTTCAAATTGGTGAGGAAATTAGTGAGTTATTCTACTTTGAATTCAGACTATATTTTGGAGCACGACGTTATCAACGTTGACCAGTTTATACTATATATCTGAAATATTCCTGTGATGGAACAAATGGAATACCTGCTTAAAATGATGATGAGTCAGATGAGTCTGTGATTGAATCTATGCTCTCTTTGGAATATTTGTGCAATGAAACTTGAAACATTCGTAATGCAGTATCACCAGGTGCAATTTTTTCGATATCTACCTTTTTCTTCCGGGCACATGCAAAAATCACTAGATCACTGTGCTGCGTCCGATCCTGCAGAAACCCATGACACAGTGGCGCTACAGGGTATAGCAAAAACGCGTTAACTACCTTTTCGCCCCAGACAAAGAAATCATCAACAGAAATTATAGATAAGGACCGGATGAATACAAAAAACAACTAGTGCCGGATTTAGGGTAGAGGGCTATGGGACTATCAGTCCCCGGCGGTGAATTTTGAAAGGTTGTAAGGAAAAAGGAAAAGGAAAAAAAGCAAGCAGCAGTATACTCGTCGCCACACTAGTCAAAAACCAAGTGATTTCGGTATGACATGCACCCTCTCTACAGGGTAACTCACGGTCGATAGTACGTTAGACGTTCATGGAGAACGGGACATAGGATCATTCTGGAGTTTTGGTTACTCACGTAGTTGCTCTTGGTCTATCGATCTAAAATATTTTCAGCTCTGCGGCGCTGCCGCTTCTATCGAGAAGTAGCAACAACTTTGTTATTTCAAATGGAACACCCTGTATTTCATTGCATTTTCAGATTCTCTCTGAAGAGCTGATTTCATCGATGTATCACACTTGGGGTCTAGCGGAAATGATTACAGAGAGATATAGGGTGCGAAAAATCGACATTTTTCAACTTCAGGAATTTTTTTTGTCGAAACTATTCATTATTGGTCAAAACGGCTCACATGGCTCTATCTCAACTTTTGATTAACTATCTACTGATATTCAATTGGGACATATACCGGGTGATCAAGATTCTGAATTCTGCACCACCACGTGTGACCCACTTCTAATGGAAACACCCCTGTATCTTACGTAATGATTGGGTAAGGATCCTGAAATTTGTTGGAGCAAGAGATATACAGAAGATGCACTATATGACCAACTGGGGCCATCTTCATTGATATACACTGCTCGCCAACAGCCATGGAACCACCCCAATTTCCGGGAAATGATATTAGGAGTCGAAATAAGTCGAAAATCACTTCAGATTCAGAATCAGGACGCCCAATTCACTAACTATTTATATTTTTCCTGGAAAATTTTCAGTTCTGAAAAACTGAATTTTGTTGCATTTTTAACGGAAGCACCCCCGTATCTCACGTTATTGACTTATTCATCTTCGGACTTCCCCTTCCTCCTGTACATTTCAGAACCCTACCTCAATAATTACGTGAGATAAGGAGGTGCTCCCAAGAGAAATGAGACAACATTTAATTTTTTTGAACTGAAATTTTTTTAGGAAAACTATTGATAGTCATTGAATTGGGCGTCCTGATTCCGAATCCGAAGTGACTTTCAACCTATTTTGACTCCTAATATCATTTTCTGGAAATTGTGGTGGTTCAATGGCTCTTGGCGAGCAGTGTATATCATTGGAGATGACCCCACTTGGTCATCGAGTGCATTTTTGGTATATCTCTCACTCGAGCAAATTTCAGGATCCTTACTCAACGATTAAGTAAGATAGAGGCGTGTTTCCATTAAAAGTGGGCCACACTGTATGTATTATTAACTCTAATTCATTTCGGCAATTTATCGAAATTTTACATAAGTAACTAGCTGAAATCAGAGACATCGGATGTTCATTGTTCAATCATTTACTTTTTGTACTAGTTATTGCGGATAATACCGCGAGTTGATGAACGAAATGATTTATCTGAAAATATTTCGATTTACTCAAGTACATAGAGTTTTATTTCTCAAACTTAACCGCCTTGTCTGATTTTATTGCAGGATGAACTTTTCAGATCTATACATCCATCGGATGTCCATAAAGGAGCGTTTGAAATTATATCCCATCAGGGAAATGTCAAGGACGTCCTTGCATGGACATTCTACAATATGTACCACGTGGGATGTCTAAGGAATGCTATTTCTAGGACATTTGAGATGATGTACATCTGGTTATTAATTATTGATGAATACTTTCGGCAAGATTTGCTCCAGCACAGTTGGCGTTTTGTGAATATGATTTCATGACTAACCCTGTATAGTAAACTTAAGAATCGTCGGGGGTTCAAGGTATATAAACCGACCCAGCTCTTGGACTATAAAGTCTGGACAACTGAATCGAATGTGATGAGTTTCAAGTGAGTCTGTGATATCATTCGAAGTTGACATTCATTTATGCTATATCTCTGACTACAACATATCTATGATGAACTATGGAACATTAGGAATGCATCAGTGCATGCAGCTGCATGATTTGGTTAAACTTACCTCTAAGGATAACTCATTGGCATGATAGTAAACCATCATAACTTGAAGCATTAGCACTATCACAGTGAAAATGTAAAAAACAATATCTTCCTCGTTGGTTGCGTTAAGCACCTGTAATTCGACAATACTAATTCATTGGATTCGAGGATTTCCGTAATTATTAGACTTACGGTCAACAGCGACACTGTTATATGATAGGATTTGACCAAGAATTCTGCAAAGTAGTACCATTTCAAGGATTTTTCAACATCTTCAACGTATCTAGAATTGAAAGAAATACAATGAAAAATTGGTTTAGTTGAGTGACCAGACAGCATAAAATATTCTAGGAATATTCTGACAACGTTCAAATATACTTATTTCAGAATATTCTGATAGAATATTCTCAGAATGATAATAGAATATTTTCATTCTGCAAACAATATTCTATGAATATTTTATTTGACATAATCCTAGAATATTATATTTTTGAATTGAATTGTCTTGCTATTCATTTTATTCATCAATAAGGTTCGTGGCAAAGTGGTGAAGGAATGTGAGCATATATGTGGAGTGTTCATCACAGAGGCCTATGTCCTAGGGCTGAGCGTTTTATATAGGTGGTCCCACTGAGAATACTCAGGGGGTGGGGTAGTTGATTTGTCGCTATCAAAGGTGGAGTTTCGTGAGGTTTATCTTCCTCCAACACTTTTGACAGAACAATGTGAATAATATAAGACGAAGATTAGACAGGTTATATCTACTTACAAGAAATGATGTATACTAACCATCATAATAACAGCCGTGATAACACACTTATGTCCAATGAATATCCTTAGGACGTACTGTCAGGACATTCCCCAGATAGCACACACTCGCCTAAGGTCATCCTCAATGTGTCGCCAAACGCCTGGAGAGGACGTTCTATTTTCTACAACCTAAGAACATCATCAGGCGTAAATTTATCGCTGTAATTGTCCTAAATGAGTTCTTTCAGTGACAGCCTGAGGATGTAAAGAATTTCGTGCCTACGGACGTCTTCAGATGACATTCCATGAAATAACGTGTCATCGAAGACAAAAGGAAGAAGAAGAAGAACTAGAATTGAGGTTCCCTAATAACACACGTTATCCAGACGACATCCATTTTATATCCATTTGCCGTCCAAGACATCCATGGACGCCAAATGGAACTATCTTTTGATGTACATTGTTGTATATCCAGCTGATGATCTAGTATGTACTCCATCTGGAAGCCTATCTATGTCCATGGACGCACATCGAATAGCCACTTGGATGTCCATACGTGATACTTGGCAGTACATATTGGACATCCATAAGTGTATTGTCGGGATGTCCATTGTAGCGAGAAATTTTGAGAAGAGTGAAATGAGAAGAAGAAGATCTGAATTCATCATTCATCTGTTCGAAAGAATTCGAAACATAATATAGGTTATGTTTATTTCATTCATTCATTTTGGTGGACTTTCATGATAATTACTAGTATTTTATAGTTGAATTATACCCCAGTTTCCTGCTTTATACGACCTTCATACAAGTAAGTTCTTATTATTTCTGTGTCTATTCAGGTGTTCCTGATTGCGAATTGTTACGATAACATAACATATTTCTTGGATAGGTAGGTAAAACACCCTTCACCAGAATGAACAGAAGGAAAAGGATTTGAAACAGGTTGTTCCGACGTATCTACTATAAAGTAGAGAAAAAAAAATCATCGGATGTTGACAAACTCTTGAATGATACGACAACAGATGATGTGTGGGCAAGAATCACTGACAATTTCGCAGTTTAAGGAAATTTCATCTTGGGGCCAATTATCTTACTCATCGACCTAAACCGACGATAAAAATTTAAACCTTTTTCACAACATGTGGCTCTTGCATGATGAGGCTCCACTACATTTCACTCTGAATGTCCATCGCTGTTTCATTCAACAGTTTTCAGATAATAAGTAGATGAAACGGCAGAGGAAATATACTATAGTTTATGGGAAGCAGTACCTATAAAGTTTAAGGTGTACTTCAGACCATTAAATACTGAACAGGAATTATGGAGACGGATTTAGAATGCATTGAATATTTTCAAAAATAATGCAGGAAGGATGCAAAATATGCATTTCAGTTTTTGTGCTGCCAGTGAATTGGACAGCTTCTTTTCCAATTTATCATCCTAAGTAGGTACAGGTAGGTACTATCTATTTTCTTATTATATTATATACTTTAGGTTTCACCCATGAACAATATTTGAAATAAATGAAAATAACATAACCTGTGTTTTGAATACGTATAGGTTGGTATACAGGGTGTCAATTTGAAAACTTCCCACCCTCAATATCTCCCTCCAAGTCGATAATATGGAAAAATGAAAAGACAGGTCGATTTTATTTTCGAGGGGGACATGGTTCTAAAATATTTTCAGCCCGGCGGCGTTGCCGCTTCTAACGAAAAGAAGCAACAACTTTGTTATTTCAAATGGAACACCCTGTATTTTATTGCATTTTTAGATTCTCACTGAAATGCTGATTTCATCAATGTATCACACTTGGGGTCTAGCAGGAATGATTACAGAGATAAAGGGGGTTCAAAATCGAGATTTTACAACTTTAGGATTTTTTTGAGTCGAAACTATTCATTATGGGTCAAAACGGCTACTATGTCCCTATCTCAACTTTTGATTTACTATCTACTGACATTTATTTGAAACAAATACAGGGTGGTTCAAGATTCAGACTTTTGATCACCCTGTATTTGTTTCAAATAAATGTCAGTAGATAGTAAATCAAAAGTTGAGATACGGACATAAAAGCCGTTTTGACTCATAATGAATAGTTTCGACTCAAAAAAATCCTAAAGTTGTAAAATCTCGATTTTGAACACCCTATATCTCTGTAATCATTCCTGCTAGACCCCAAGTGAGATACATTGATGAAATCAGCTTTTCAGGGAGAATCTAAAAATGCAATAAAATACAGGGTGTTCCATTTGAAATAACAAAGTTGTTGCTTCTTTTCGTTAGAAGCGGCAACGCCGCGGGGCTGAAAATATTTTAGAACCATGTCCCCCTCGAAAATAAAATCGACCTGTCTTTTCGTTTTTCCATATTATCGACTTGGAGGGTGATATTAAGGGTGGGAAGTTTTCAAATTGACACCCTGTATATGTTTAATATATGGACACCATATGGATGTCCATAATGGACACCAAATGGATGTCCATAATGGACACCAAATGGATGTCCATAATGGACACCAAATGGATGTCCATAATGGATAACGTATGTATGTCCTAAAATGTGGAAAGCTGATTACCTATGGACATCCATAGGATTTCCTGTGTACACAAAGTGGTTATCCTATGGATGTCCAGGATGTCCGGGTGAGGATATCCATTGGATGTCCAATGGATGAAGGTGTGTTATTAGGGTTATGTCTCATGATAGTCATGATTTGTTCAAGATACATCATAATATATTAATGATTATATCAAAATTATTAGAGTATTCATTGAATACCTTCATCAAATTTCTATTTCACAAAATGATTGCGAGAAGAACTTATTGCACAGAATTAAAAGATAACAATACCAAAAGGATGATAATCTCTGTTGATGACATTTCTCTCAGGTAGCAAGAAACAATGGTGAGTAAATACTAAATAGAATCATTGATAGTACCGGACATGAAATATTGATACATTCATATACATTATTTATTGTTTCAGGAGGTTATTGAGAACACAAACTTGATGATATTATCATAGCAAACATGTTTTATTCCAAGATAGCTTTGCTTCTTCGGAATCTATAAAATATTGTATGGAAGCTTGAACTTTCAGTATATGAATTCAATAAAGGTAGGTACCTGAATCAAATCATTGATATAGTAGGTACTGGACATGAAATGTTAATAGGTTAATTATTTGTTTCAGATGAAGTTATTGAGAACACAAGATTGATGATGTCATCAGAGCAGAGATGTTTCATTCCAAGATATTTTGGCTTCTTCGAAATCTATATGAGATTGCCTATGCATGTTTGCACTTTCAGTATATTCAATAAAGGTAGGTACCTAAATCAAATCATTGATATAGTAGGGACTGGAACATGAAATATTAAAAAGTACATTATTTGTTGTTGGAGGTTATTGATAACACAAAATGATTATATCATCAGAGCAGAGATATTTTATTCCAAGATATTTTGGCTTCTTTGGAAATTATGAAAGATTGTACATATGCAGACTTGAACTTTCAGTAGATTCAATAATGGTTGGTACCTATAACTACATAAATCATATCATTGATAGTAAGTACTGGACATGAAATATTAATACATTGTTTGTTTCAGAAGGTTATGCAAAACATAAACCTGATGATATTTTCATTCCAAGTTAGTTTTGCTTCTTCAGAATCTATAAAGGCTTCAACTTCCAGTTGATTCTTCTGCATCAGGAATGTCCAGAGTTCAGAAATCAAAAACAACATGGAGAAATATAACTATCAATTGGCAATAACTTCTAGTAGTGCTCAACAAGAAGCTGAAATACATTTCTTTGAAAAGGAAATTGAAATTTTTCAGAATAAGTTATAAATAATAGAATGTAAGTTTTTCATTTGGTTTTTCATTTGAACCTATTATAAATAGAAGAAAATTTTGCAAATATCATGAGATCCATATTATTTTGAAGAAATTATCATTTGCATAATACAAGGTGAGTCAATAGTGTGTTATCCTTGTATATTAGCCAAACCATCAGATAAATAGAGAAAATTCAAGTACAACAGTAATGAGGTTTCATGAGAACTTTCACATTGAATTGTTTTCATATATATCTGTAGGGTGTTCGAATTCCAAGATATATTGACTGATGATTGTTTTTTCCAAATGGGACACCCTGTATACTATTGCATTTTTAGGTTCTTCCTGAAGAGCTGATTCCATCAATGTATCACACTTGGGGTCTAGCGGGAATGATTACAGAGATATAGGGTGTTCAAAAACAAGATTTTTCAATTTTAGGATTTTTTTTGTGGAAACTATTCAATATTGGTCAAACTGGCTCACATATCCTTATAAACTTTCGATTCACTATCTACTGACATTCAATCGGAACAAATAAAGGGTGGGTTAACATTCAGAATACTGATCAGCTTATTGTATCTGTTCCAAATAAATATCAGTAGATAGCTAATCAAAAGTTATGACAGGAACATGTGAGCCGTTTTGAACATTAATGAATAGTTTCGACACAAAAAATCCTACATTTGA